GAAAAGATTTATTAAAACATATCTCCCTTCAACTTTTAGAGCGATAACTTTGACTAAACTATCGGACAGTAGTAGTCGAGCCTTGATTCATGAGGTTATATGGAGGTGCGCTACTCGATTTTAAATCGTGCAACTAAAAAGTTGACTAAACAATCGATAGTCGCACAGTTGTTCGATAGTTTTGTCAAAGGTGGGCTCGCACTTAGAAGAAAAGAGACAAGAACATGTTTGAACAATGTTAGATAACTTCACGGTTAATACTTGTGAAGGAAAGTTTTATTATAAGTGTTTTTGAATGTGGTATGTAGCAATTATGAATTTTAAACTCCTGAGTCACTTATGTAAAATTTTACAAACCTTCTATGTGGAAATTAAAATTTTCTAAGACACCAAAGCAAGTGTAAAATAAAGTAGATTAATCGAAATTTTTTTAATATTTCCATAGTAAGAAGGCAAACGAGTAGCAAGAGATCCTCAGATATGTTGATTTAACGTAGAACTACGTTCTTTGCTTGAAGGCCCCCAAGTCTTTATTCCCGTCTTTTGTTAATTACAGATATATGGAAAAGGAATATATCCAATGTCTGGGCATCCCCTCTTTTTTTAGGCAGCGCCTAAACGTATTGCAGATTTATGAGCAACTAGTTTTTTCAGTTTTGTGTAAATGACAGCTTACTCGTTTGCTACCTTAAAGGTACGTAAAGTAATTCAAAACTAAATAATATCAGTTGACATATAATGGGACAAATAACTCCTAAGTATTTACAAAACTTGATGTCCATTACGTAATAAATCAAAAAGTGCTTTTGTGGTAGTGATAAGTGTAGTTGTTAGTAGAACATTAACAGACGATAATATACCATAGACAAGCAAACGTGTTAGCCCTCCTTCACAAGTACCATAAACAAATGAGATCTCTACGTAGATTAAAAAAAAGAATAGCACAACCAACCACAAACCAAAGAAACTCGCAATAATCATGTTCTAACACGGAACTTATCGATTTTTTATTTACGCAATATTCTAAACTATAATTAGGCAACTAAAATAACTATAATAAACTCATAAAGAACCAGTTACAAGTTAATAAGTCTACCGGATATTCTATATTTTAATCATTTTTAAGTGATTACTTGACCTCACACTTATTCGAAACTTATAATGTTGTGCTTGGAATTGCTAAAGATAAAACCAATATCTGTCAAAAAACATAGCGAAATAGTCGCATATACTTCGAATTCATTAATATTAAAAAAAAAAACATTATTGGTTATGATTTTTAGCAATTCCCATAGATATTTTAAATACAACTACGCGATATCCTCACACCACCGCCCCCAGTCACTACACATTTGAGACATTTTAATTTCAGTGCATAACCTCAAATTTTATAACTATAGACAAGCATGCGCTAAAAATTAAGACATCCCTTTAAACAGTGATTATTAAAAAAAGAATTAAGCAAAAAAAGAAGACTTAAACAGCAGGAAAAGAAGAAGCTGTGAATAAAAAGATAAAAATGTGTTAATGACTGGAGGGCAATTTTATATCGACGATATCCTGAAGCCGGGTAAAAGACATCTTCAAGCAATAGGGGGGTAATTTAACGTTTTTAGTTCATAAACATACGATTGGTAGGGGCAAATGAAAAATTCTTCTGCCAGTATTCTATTACATTAAGAAAGAAATTATGTGTTAACACATTTCATGCCACTACTTTCTCTCATGTACTCGCCAATAGGTGGCGTTGTTTTTAGTTTCACTGTCAGTCTGCGTAGTGAGTTTATAAATTGAAGTTTTCAATCCTAATAACACTGAATTATGTTTTCCTATGACTGCTAACATAGGGCATATCCCACCAAATTATAAACTGTCTGATAACAATCCAAAATGTTAAACATGTGATGGAACTATCGGGTTTTGTTGCCTTATCTGAGAGAGGCATCATTTCTAATTTATCTGAGCTTCTATCAGCCAGTGGTGGGACAGGCCCTTATTATCGGAAACTGTCATCATGTATTCGTCAAAGAGGTATTTACAAACTTCTATTAAACACACTTTTAAATCCGGAACTCTTTAACTAAAATCTGTTAAAGACACACAAAAATTTACCGACTTCAATGACACTAAAGGTACACTCTTTCAGTAACTTTTCAGTTAAAACTGACAGAACTGAGCGTCTGTTACAGGCTTAAGATGTTAATATGGGCAAAGAAGAGATACCCTCATATATACCACAATGAACTCGCCAGGCATGATTTGAATTGGTGGCATTAAATGTGTTAGCAAACATTTTTTTGGATATGGTTCGTTCAATAGTCAATACATGTAAGAAGAATTTTAACATTATGCCTAACAAAACCAGAGTACCAAATATAAAGCTCACCGTTTACAGTTCGTATTACACAAAAACGTAATCTCTAGGCTTATTATCCGCACGCGCTGTGCTCAGGAAAACCTGCACTAACCGAAGTGATACCATGCATACTCCGATAAGCGCCATGCTATACCCATCTGTAACTAGATTCTCTAATTTAAAAAAATATAAAACAGCAACACTTACCAAACCGGCCGGTGTTACCACATTCATGCACATTTTCCATAAACACAACCCGTTCGGATAAACCATATTACACTTCATCGTATATTAATAAAACACAATATTGCATTGACAGCTAGACTAGAGGTAATTGTAACTGTGACATTTGCTGTCAGATCATTGCCATAGTTACAATTTCGATAAGTTAAAATAATATTAAAGAAATGACAGAACAAAAGATTAGCCATTACACCATGTAATTGTGACTAAAGCCCCCAATACCTATACTTGTGAATATCGAAACAATGGCAACACCATAGACGATGACATTAACCTTTTGTTTATCTATAAACAGCCATAAATACAGATCACATATTTAGAACGCATTAATAAATTCCATTTTCAAACGGTGGTAAAAGCCATAAAGAATTAAGAAAAATAATCACAGATTTATGAAATGCGTTAAAAATATAGTGAATTAATTAATTTAATACCGGCATGACTACAATATATGGTGTGAGGTAACGCAGACAATGGAGTAGATGATTGCATATAGATTGTTAGAAGTGAATATAAACGACACATTTCGTTTTAAAATTGGACATGGAGAGGAACATGGAAGACTTCGGAAAGGTTATGTATTGATTTGATTTCATCAAACGCGTTCCGTTTCACTAAAATTATAGCTGCATAGCGGCAAAAACACGTGGCAAAAACTTACTAGTATTAAACATAATTACAACAGACTAATATAAAAAACCTATCTAAAACAAAAAAAAAGTGTATAATAGTAAACGCAAAAAAGTGCATTGTACTCAAAAAATGATTTAAGTACCGAACGAAAGCGACAAAATGACAAAATGCTAAAAAAATTCAGACTTTGTTGCCTCAAAACGTACGGCAAAAGATTTTGTCTTTTTTCTTGGAATGTATTAATAAAAATCACAACTGAAAACTTACCTACATAAGCAACAATACTCGTCAAACATCAACAAACTTTGAATCACACAAATCCAACGTTTAAAATATGATTATTTTAGATATAACAAACGTTAAAAAAGTAAATTCAACAATAGTACTAAGTTTTATTCTATTTCACTAATAGCTGCAATAATTAACTGCCGATTTCACATCTATATTAGTAAATTCATTTTTGTTGTAAATATTAATATCAAAAACCTTCAAAAAGGTTTTAAAATTGATTTTTGAGCTCATTGTCATATATTACCCTGTTAAAACGAAGTTAATCTTCAGTTCAATATTTAAATATATTAAGAAAATTATTATTTTTACTCTGTGCCGTCTACATACAAAAATTTAAACTTGTGCCAAAGCTACGTCAAATAATTTTGTAAGGCACAACAGGCTCTTTTTATAAATTGTTAATCAAAAAATTTACTGTAAAGATTTTTTTTTCAAACAATCACATGAAATTCCCTGAGACATGTGACATTAGAACGACGTTGCGTTTTATCGATATTAAACTCCGGGGTAGTATGGGTAAGTGGGGAACATTGACAATGTGGCGGGGAACGGTGACGTCATAGTGG